TTTCTACAATTTTAATGAATAAAGTCCTTCTACTTTAGATTTGTGGTATTTTCTCTTTTCTTCTTGTTTATCTAAATGCTACAATTTTCAGTTATCAACTTGTTATACTAACCAAAAAAAAAGAGTTAATTTATTGTTCTATAGGTTTTCTGCATTATTTTTCAATAATTTTGGCTGGAAAATGATAAAAGCTTAGATTTTGCGGTTGTTAATTAAAGTTCCATATTCCTAGTTGTGTTGTTGGCCTCTTTTGGTTTTATTCAATACAATATTCTAGTTCTGAATGCAGGATCATAAATGCATAGTTATTGATCGGAAATGGACTTTAACACTTGTGGTATTTAGAAGCTTTACAGATCTTATTTACCTGCTTAACATGCTTCTTCAGGTAAAACTGCTTCTCATCCTATTAGATTTTTTTATTGGCCTTACATATTTCCATCTTTTCTCCCTCCAACCTGTTCCCTTTCAATTTTTTCATTTTTTTCACTAGCTCTCTTTCAAATTTTTTTATTATTTTATTTTACTCTTTTTTTTTTTTTTGGTAAAATGGAAAGCATTTCCATTGCAGCATTAAAGCATATCTACTCAAGTCAAGAACAACATTTTATTTTGCAAATTTCATACTAATTGTCATTGTGATTTCCATTGATTAGAGAAGATTGTCACTAGTATCAGGTACTCCTATCTATCAGAGGTTTAAAGGTAAAGGGATCAAAACGAGGATCCTTTGACACCAGGCAACTATGATATTAAATGGTGTCTGTTGTGGAATTGATATAAATATATATATATATATATTTTTTTTTTCCTCATTGAAATAGGGCAGTTGTTGGAGAAAAGTTATTTGCAACGTGATTGTTGGTGGTAAAGTGAATGGATGAGGGGAGATAAATTGAATAAAATTGCAATATCCCATATAATGCTTCTCTGTGAATGTAATAGTCCAAGTTTACTGATAATGATTTTTGACTTTCCTCATAAATTGTATGCAATTTTTATATTATTTAAAGACATTAAAAATTTGACCAAGGAGGCAAAGGAACATAATTGTAGTTTTATAGAGGATATCATTATTCTTTAGTGCTTTATGGTTCATTTATTCACAGCTTTGGCCAAGTCTTTCCTCTTCCATCCTTGACAATTATTTATTTGTTTCTTTCATGAGCAGTTCAAGTTGGCTTATATAGCTCCTGAATCTCGAGTGGTTGGTGCTGGGGAGTTAGTTGACCATCCAAAAATGATTGCTATAAATTACCTTCGTGGATACTTTTTAATTGACTTGTTTGCAGTATTACCGCTTCCACAAGTAAGTTATTTTGATCTTACTCTTCCATGGTAGTTTCATGTCTCTCTTGTACTCTATGTAATAAGAAAGTTGTTTCCGAAAGTCCATCTCACCTGATTGTATGTTCTTTTTTTTTATGGCAATCACATGGACATTGTGTTGTCATCAATTATTTCCTTTATTCTCACAGATCGTGATTTTATCAGTCCTACCAAGGAATTTGGGAGCATCTGGGGCAAATTATGCAAAAAATCTTCTACGTGTAGCAATTCTTGTTCAGTACATTCCCAGATTGTATAGATTTCTCCCTCTGCTTGCTGGTCAGTCACCACGTGGTTTTATATTTGAGTCAGCATGGGCAAATTTTGTCATAAATCTTCTAACGTTCGTGTTGTCTGGCCATATTGTTGGATCACTCTGGTACCTCTTTGGATTACAGGTGGGAAAAGTTTATTTCAATGTAGAAATTATTTCTGAGCTTTCTTCTTAAAAATCTTTTATGCCTTGTGTGGATTGCTTTTATTAACTCTGATTTATTTGCATTGTCCATGTAATCCTTAGTTTCCTGAATTATTCCATGATGCATCTAGAAAGAAGTTCACATCTTTTAGCATAACAAGTGATGCATAGATTTCTGGTTTAAGCAACAATAGTACAATCAATCAAAGATGTATATGTCTATCTAATGACTCCTTGAACTGTCATTTGACATGGAAATTGATCTGTGATCTGATGAGTTTTTGTTAGATTAAAAATATATAAATTCTTCCTTCCTTTTTCTTGAAATAATTATATGCTGATCAAGTAAACTTCATTGCATACAAAATTTGCTGGCTTTGATGCATAGTCTCTTTATTTTACTTTAAAAATATATTTTGAAGAAAGCATTCCTTTTCTGTTCTCATTCTGCCATATAATGTATGTCAGTTTCTAATGTATAAAGCTTGACCATACTTGAATTAAATCCTTTAAAAATTGCTGAAACTGATATTTTTGGAAGAATTTATTCATTTTATGGAGTATCTGTACCCTGTAATCTTGTCAGACGAGAATATTTTTACTTATATCTTTGATGTGTTTGTTCTCTAGGTCTGTTATGTTTGTTACTAATTCTTGGTTAATTGCTTAGAGTTATTTTATTTTCGGTGGTTAATTGCTTAAAATTAGGGACTGTTTCTTGCATTCAGAGGGTTAATCAGTGTCTCCAAGATGCCTGTGATAACTCTCAAATCGGCAATTGTAAAGAAGTTATTGATTGTGGGATTGGACATGGCAATTCTTCTTCGTTGCAAGGGTGGAATAATTGGACTACCAATGCAAACGCTAATGCCTGTTTTACTGAAGATGGATTTGACTACGGAATATACATTAAAGCTGTCAACCTTACTGCACACGAAAATATCACTACCAGATATATATACTCTTTGTTTTGGGGGTTCCAGGTAATATATATCTTAATTTTGGCCATCCACACTGAGTGCACTTATTATGTTTTCATTGTTTATATGCTGTGTGCATTAGTTGTTATAATTTTTCAAATTAACAACAAATGTAAACGGGTTGAAGAAAAGAAACAACTAGAACAGACTTGCATAGTGCGCTTGGTAAGGATTGAGAAACTGCATTGTATTCCCATTTCTGATGCTTAAAATATTTGTTTTTAGGAAGCTTAAGGGGAAAGATTTATCTTGGATAGTTTGTTTGGAAGTT